ATAATAATAATAATAATAATAATAATAATAATAATAATAATAATAATGTTTTACAATGGAACCAATTACTCAAAAAGAGATGGTGATGGAGAGGTGGTGAAGGAGAGGTGGCCTTTCCTTCAGGAACTCAAGTGGCTTAGATCAGCGGTCGCCAACCGGTGGGCCGTGGCCCACTGGTGGGCCGTGAGAAAATTTTGGTGGGCCTTGAGAAATCTCATCCCCAGAGCATCCCTCCAAAGCAATTAATCCAGGCTGCGTAGAAACACATGGCTGCACTGCCCACATGGCCCGCAGGAACCCTCCCCACCCACTCACTCCTTACCTTGCAAACTTGCCTGCTAAATTTCTATTTTTCCTTTTTCCAACCATCATCTGTTCTGCTGTGCTCGGAGATTTAGATTAGCTACGAAGCAGGAAATGGTTGGATTTCTTGCTTTCTAGCTAGTCTTTAGATCTTCAGCTCAGCACAGCCGAACCTCCCTTAGGACTGAAGGTTTGCTTGCAAGCAAATTCAGTGCAGACTCACGGCAAACAAATTTGAGAGACTGAACTAGCCGATGGCAGACAGATAGATCACTGAATGATTCTGTGAGCAACTCAATCTGCCAACTTTGCCTGATTTTGGGTAAAAGTTGCTCTTTTTTTATTAAAAAAAAATCAATATTTACATACATGGTGTGTTGTGAGTTAATTTTGTGAGTTTGCTTGCAATCAAATTTTATGTGACAGACTGAGCTAGCCGATGGCAGATAGATAGATCTCTGAATGAATCTGTGATTCTGTGAGCACCTCAATCTGCTGCCTGCTTTGCCTGATTTTGGGTAAAAGTTGCTCTTTTTTTAAATAAAAAATTCAATATTTATATATAATATTAATATTTACATATAAGCCATGCCCAGCCAGTCACATGACAACCAATTGTGGATTATTTAGAGGGCAACCAGAGGGCATTTGGATATGTGGCTCCAGAGACTAAAATTCCTGTTATTGTTAGCCTAAAAGTAAAAAGTAAAAAAGTAAAAGTGACCATGCTAGTGCTAGTCTGGCCTGATTATTCCATGATATAAAGTTAGGGAACACATTTAACTTGGGTTTTCATGAATGATCATTTATGGGGGTTTTCTTGTAAATTGTTTGCCTTAACTTGTATACAGGGCCACCTCTATTTTTCATGCCCACCAAACTAACGGTTGAAATGAGGAGGTAAAGCAGGACTCCAATATTAATCTCAGAATGTGTGTGAGTATGTTGCGGCCAGTGAAAGTCAACCCATCAAGCCAACTGAAACCCAAAACCCAAGAGCAGTTTTGATGCCTCTGAGTTTCTGCAGAAAGGGGCATGTCTGCATCAAGCAGATCTTCTCCATCTGCACAATTAAGAGGGCTAAAACTACTTGTTTTTCTACTGCAAACTAGTCTAATGTTGAATGACATTGAACAAATGAAGCGGTGCACTCTACCAGATAACTGAACATTTGCCAGAGGTGTACACACTAGAAATGTGTTTGGGAATTTACACACTACAGGCCACTGTGAATAAACTGCTTCCAAAAACTCCCAGCAGATATTATGGTACACCATATGTTTAAAAGCCTTGCAAATGGCCCAGGATACAATGCAATTCATGCAGCAACCAGATAACTTACCTGAATGGCTTCTCTCCAGTGTGAGTCCGAATGTGTTTCCGCAGATCACTGAGGGTTGTAAAGTACTTGCTGCAACCTTCTGATTCACAGTTAAATGTTTTCCCTGTGTGAAGCCTCTGATGGGCTTTTAACCTAAAGAAGAAGGGGGTTGGAGAATGTCTCTTCTGATCCAGGACATGCCCTGCAGTGAAAGAGCAAGGCCCACCTGACATGATTACACATTTGGGCCTAGGTTCTGTACACTGAAAACACCCATCAAAGCCAACATTTTAGTGGAAGGCATTTTGGGGGTGATGTACATCAGGCAACCAATTTTGCAAGAGCCACATGCACTGATGTGAGAGATCTGGGGAGTGGGCATAGGGCAGAGTAAAATATATTTCATTGGGGACATTATCCAATTCAACCGGGAATACCCAATTCTCTCTCTCTCCATGTGTGAGCACTATTTTTTTCTGATGAATATGAGATTTCCAAAATTCATCCTCTTACCTGTACAGTGTATTGAAGGCTTTTTCACAACCTTGAACATCACACTCAAAGGGCTTCTCCTTGGTGTGCACCCGGACATGGATTTTCAGGCTGTAGGATGTCAGAAAGGCCTTCCCACACCCCTCCTGATTGCACACAAAGGTGTACTCCCCACGGTGGGTCTTTTGGTGAGTGCGCAAGTTGCCTGCAGTGCTGTAGGTACGAGGGCAGCCCTCAAACGTGCACTGGTAGCGCTTCACCTGTCAGACAAACAAGCATCATTCAAATCAATATTGGTCCAATCCATTTCACAGAGCGACTGGAAGAGAAAATAAATATTTGAGTTCAGAAGGCAGCAAAAGCAGTACTCTGTTTGCATGTTATGCAAATATAGGTGCTAGCTCTGACCAGAATCAGAGGAGATCCTCCTTTGTTCATGTCCATAGACAATCCCTTGACCCTGCTCTTTGCTTGGGGATTAAGGGGCACAATAAGGACTTTTAGATTCAGAACAGCAGCCAAGAAAAATATAGCTAAATGTGAGCTCTATGCAAAAGTAGGCTCCCCAGCTTTTACTTGTAGGTTATTTTATGCAACTTTAAAAACTATATAGAAGATCACTTCAATTGAGAGCCTATCCTAAATGTCTCCAGTGAAGACATTTTAGCAGCATCTATCATAACCTATGATATAAAAATAATGAATGTCATGAATCATCAAACACCAAATACACTGTCTGATTCAAATAAATGTTGTATCATAATACTGCATACGAATCGTCATGTGCCCCTTATAAATATGTCTCGGCCAGTTGTATAGTGAAAATAAGACTCACTTCGGACTTCTTAGAAATAAAAAAAAGTCTACTTATGGAGATGAATAGAGGACACATGATGATGAGGAAGGTTTACAGGAAACTATAATTAGGCTTTACTGTACTCAGTAAAAGTTATTTGCTCATAGCTGAGATTGTAGCCCAAAGAACACATCTATAAATACATTCATTAAATATAGTTAAGGTTTCCTTGGGGAAAATCTCTATCAATAGTTGACAAAGTCTATGCCCTCTACACATACATTTCTCTGAAGAGGTTTTCCTTCAGTTAGCAATCCAACACAATACAAAGGTGGAGGAGACTCACAAAAGTTTGCTGCATAGGTATGAAGGATAGGTGCGGGTCAGATATTGAGAGCATTTCAAGGAAGCTTCAAAAATACAGTGAAAAATAACACTGGGTTCCTATCCTCATATCACATATTTCCAAACTCTGGTAGCCCTGGAGCTACCAGAGTTTGTCCCTCCACCGTCATATCTTCCATATACTTAATATCCTTTATGTAAATCCCAGATCCTGACTCCTAGTCCAGATAATAATAGGACAAGCTCTTACTACAAATCCCAGTTACTCTGCTTCCCACAGCTAAATTAAAGAAAAATCTTTAACCAGCTTTGCAGTGAGCAATTTACTTTGAAGGTTTTGGAAGAAATGTAATAGGTATACTGAGAATGCGGAAGCAAAACTTACATAGCTTTATTTTTGCTTCCTTTACTATGCAATATAAAATCTTCTGAATGATTGCATTTATGCCTCATTCTGTATGCATAAAATCTCGATGCAAAGAATATATTCCTACTACCCAAACAATGGGACAGCTCCTATGGAAGCCTTCCAGAAAAACCAGATCTTGGGTATTTCCTGGAAAGTCAAAAGAATGGGAGCAAGTCGTTTCAAAACAGAGAAGCAGCTAGCAAGACTGTTTCCTCCATGCCCCTTCCTAACAGAATGAGGCATTCAAGCAGGCACTTTCTACTGGGTAAGGCGGACAAAATTTTCTCTTTAGTCATGTGACTGTGGGATGCTGCTAAATGCCATAATTGCTGCCAAATTGCCTAGTACCTGACATGCAAGTCACATGACTTGGGCAGGCAGCCATCACCACTTTGAATCTGGGTCATAAGTAGGTCAACCAAAACTTCAGTCACCAAGTGGCTGAAGTTAAAGGCTACCTGTACTTCTAACTTTTTCTAAAGAAACTGAGTATTACCACTTTTAAATCATATGACAATAAGGAGATTTTGCAAGAAAGTGAAAAGAAACACTTTATTTTACACTTGTGACTGAACCAAAAACTTGAAGTTAAGAGAACTGCTCTCTGAATTTATGATTTAAAACAACTGAAATTTCAAAGATTTAAGTAAAATCTTGTTAAATGTAATTCCTTATCTCGATCACTGGATCTTTTCTCTTAATTTTAGTACTGAAAATTCCCAAGCCAAAAGGTCAGTAATCATGAACAGAATTTAGAGACAGGAACCAAGGTTATGTGACTCATCAGGAAAACATTCCTATAACCCTTTTTAAACCTGCTCTCTGTCTTAATTTTTATGAAATGCAATTAAGCATTTTGCAGCAATTTTTAAAAAGTATTGGATTTGTACTATATGCAGTAGATGTAAAAATTCCTACGTACCCCTGTTAAAATGCCAGGATTTTAAGATGTAAAAAAATCCGGCCAAGATAAATCACTTCAGATTTTTTCCCCCATCTTTAATATAAGGTATAAGCTATACAATTCAACTGAAAACCAAATTTAAATCTTTTGGGGGGGGGGGGTAACATTAAAACCCCTAATAACATGGTTGCTTAAGTGTGCATACCCTCTCATAATGTGGCTGTGTTTAGAATTAATCAAATTCAAACTGATGGTAAAATACTACATACCTAACATCAAGTAAGGTGACTCTGATCAAACCATATAAATTTCAGCTTTTTAGTAGGATTTTTCTGACATTTAGTTGCTTCTTACAGCAAAAGCCATCATCTGCAAAGAGCTTACAAAGCATGAAAAGGGATCTCAGTGCTGGAAAGTTTCACTTGGGATAGCTGTATAAAAAAAATTCCAAGGCATAGTATATACCATGGAACACAGTGAAGACAGTTATCAACAAGTGGAGAAAATTTGACACAATAGTGACATTAACAAGAACTGGATGTCCCTCCAAAATTGATGAAAAAAACAAGAAAACTGATCCAAGAAGCTGCCAAGAGGCCTATAGAAATATTAGAAGGAGCTGCAGCAATGCCTAACAAGTACTAACTGTTTACTACACGTGACAACAATCTTCCCTATTCTTCATATCTCTGGGCTATGGGGTAGGATGGCAAAGCAGCTTTTCTTTTACACAGAAAAACACCCAAGCCTAGCTACATTTTGCATTTCTGGCAAAAGCGTGTGGGCAAATGAGTTTTTGATGAGACCAAGTTGGAATTTTGTACATAATTCCAAAAAGTATGTTTGGCACAAAAACAATACTATGCATTGCCAAGAATACACTACATCCACAATGAACCATGTTGGTGGTAACATTATGCTTTTGGCCTGCTCTTCTTCAGCTGGAACAAGTCAAGGTAGAGGAAATTATGAACAATTCTAAATACCCGTCAATTTGGGCACAAAGCTTTTGGGCCTCTGCTTAAAATGCTGAGGATGAATGTCACCTTTGAACACAACAATGACCCAAAGAATATCTCCAAATCAACAAAAGGATGATTTCACTAGAAGATCAAAGTTTTGGAATGGCCTGCACCTGACTCCAATTGTAAATCTGTGGGATGGCCTGAAGAGGGCTTCCCAAGGCAAAAGTGATACTAACAACTCCAGAAGACTGAGTTGTTGTCATAAATCAAAAGTTGCTTCAACAAAGTATTAGTTTAAGGCTGTATACACTTATGCAATCATAAGGCATTTGATAAAGTAAACCATAACCTATTATTAGATAAAAGTAGAAAAATGTGGGTTAGACAGCATCACCACCAGATGGATTCGTAACTGGTTGACCAACCGCACTCAAGGTGTAGTCCTCAATGGAACTGCATCTATATGGAGGGAAGTATGCAGGGAGTACCCCAAGACTCTGTTTTAGGCCCAATACTCTTCAACATCTTCATCAATGTTTTGGACAAGGGAAACTCATCAAATTTGCAGACAACACTAAGCTGGCAGGAATAGCCAACACTCCAGAAGATAGGCTTAAGATACAGAAGGATCTTTACAGACTTGAACATTGGACGCTAACAAAATGAAATTCAATGGTGAAAAAAAGTAAGGTTCTACATTTAGGCAAGAAAAATAAAATGCACAGGTACAGTATATGTGGTATTTTGCTCAATAGTAGTAACTGTGAGAGGGATCTCGGAGCCCTAGTTTAGTTTAGTTTATTGTCACTGCACCTCATACAACAAAATCAAACACCATCTTCATGACCATGACCATGAAAATAAACACAAACACGAGAAGTTATGAGACTTCCGGTGATGAGATATGGACGAACGGAGGTGCTGAAACTCTCTCTGGGTTTCACACTATCTCCTCTTGCTGTTGGAGTGACCCTTAGGGGTGCACGCATCTTGTAGAGAAGCGTGCCAGTGTGGGGAGACTCGAGTCACGGTATGGAGGAAGTAATTCTCATCGTGACGCAGAGAGACCCTGTAGAGACCGACATTAAGAGACTGTCAGTAATGGCAGTCCTGAAGGCTTGATCGTTACATACAGAGGAAGCGAGTGAATGACAGACTGTGGTGAATGAAGACTACGAGTGAAAGAATTTGCGATCCTGATTGAGCACTGAATATTGGAGAACCTTAATCGGAGCGAAGCCCGAAAACAGCGGCCAAAGCAGATACGAGTGGCGGTGAAAGCGAAAGGGCTCAGGCTCGTGAGACGAAAGGTAAGGACGCGAGCGATCGGATAGAGAAGATAAGAGAATCGGAGGGACCTGAGTGACTGACAATAATTGGGGGAGAAAAAAAGAAAGAAAGAACGACGAATTTAATTTAAGGGAACTTTGAGAGATTTGAACTGTGGATTTTGGGGAAAATTGGAAGGACGAACTTGAGATCAGGGGAGATCTGAAGTAAGGAATTAAGTAGTCTTATTACAACTTTAAATATTCCATGAACAAAACTGAATAATTTACTGGACTCTTTTTGGATTATTGGACTGGAGCTGTAGTAAGTGGAGAAGATTTATTAAAGAAAGAGACTATATGAATTTAAAGATTGATTTACAAGATTTTTAAACGAAAGGAGAAATGGCTACAGCAGAAAGTGCGGTGAGATGGTGAAACCAGAGATATTACTCAGCAAGTCTGTGCTTCCGATGCACTCGGTGAAGGAATTTTGATTTAGAGATGAACAACTACATTAAGACACTTTAAGACTTTAAACTTTGCGGATTGTAATAATTATTTCTTGACACC